AGAGCAAGGCAGTCTCGGTTGAATGTCCACTTCTGAAACCAGACTGGTTGCTGTCGAGGAGGTTGTTCTGTGTGAGAAAGGCAGAGATTTGGTTGAACAGCCCGTTCAAGTGTTTTTGCAATGAAAGGAAGAATGGAAACTGGTCTGTAGTTCTTTAAAAGAGATGGGTAAAGGGTGGGTTTCTTAAGTAGTGGGGTTGTACGAGCCTGTCTAAATGCTGAGGGAAAAACACCAGTGTGAAGAGATGTGTTAATGATGTGAGTGAGTGCAGGTACAATTGCAGGAGAAATGGCTTGACGGAGATTAGGATGAGTTTGGAGACTTCTGCCTCAGAGAGTGAAGAGAAGGATGTGAACGAATTTATGTAGTATTTATCAATATTTAGAATTTTTTTCAAATTTTAATTTTAGCATTTTTAAATGTTTTTGTCATATTTATTCGTTTTTTTTAATTTAATTAAATTCATTTTTACTTCCATTTTCGTTTTAGTCATTTTAATACTTCAACATGAACTAGTTTTATTTCATTTTCATAAGTTTATGTCTAACATTTATATTTTAATATTTAAAATCTATTATTTTTTAAAACCTTTTCTTTCAAACCTTCTGTCTAATATTTATAATATAATACTGCATAATATATATAATATAATATAGTTTTCATTTTAGATTTAAAAACCAACACAAATTCCTAGAAGAAATGTGTCTGCCAGTTCAGAGTTTTTTGATTGTACACTGTGCATTTTGTGATTACACATTTTGTCTTGAAAACATTAGCCTTAAACCTTCAGGCATATCTAGCCATTTCAATTTAGTAATATCTGTGCCACTAGCATCATTAAACTGAAACGCAAAATAATAAATGTTTTCAAAACATTTTCTGCACAGTGCCCATCTAGTACAGCCCCAAACTAATGCTTTTGGTTAGCATTAGAGTCCATTGGAGTCAAGTCAAGTTACCTTTATTTATATAGCGCTTTTAGCAATACAGATTGTGTCAAAGCAACTGTACAGCATCACATTCAGTGATGTCATCATCCAGCTCAGTTCAGTTTAAATAGTATCTGTGCAATTAAGTCGAATATCACTGGAAATTGAGTCCATATTGGTTGAATCGAAACAGGTTGAGATGCTCTAAGCTTTTCTTTATGTTTAGTTCTACAAAAATGTACGTTTGTAGACACGAGGGAGTTTGTGTCCAGATGTGTCAGGATTGGCTAGTAGTACTGGCCCCAGTTATCCATCTTTTTGTAGTTCATCTCGGCCTAATTCCCAGGATTACATGGCTTGCCTGTTGAATAGAAGCAGCATCAGAGAGACAATGAGGCTTCTGGATGCCTTAAACTCACACAGCTAATTCATTTCTAAAGCTCTCCCTCATGTTCAGCCAACCAGTATAGCCCAATAAAATATTATTTAAAGAAAGAGCATATTAAAGTATATTAAATTAAAGTAAAGTCTCTAGTTTAATGTTTCAAATAGCTTTTGTGAAAATAAAATATCAAAATATGAGTGAAACAATGAAACAAACTGCTTATTCTGACCTGCATTTATTGAAATTTATAAAAGAAAAAGTGATCATACAATTTTGTGTGTGCGTGTGTGTGTGTGTGTTTTAAACGATTAAATACTTCTTGCTGACAAATGGCTAAAATCTAGTCGTTTGAAGCACAGTGGCAAAGACTGGTAAATATTTAAAATGACACTTAATTAGTTTTTGGGGGTTGCACTGTGAGTCTTTTAATAAATAGGGTCTTTTAATATCATCTAAAGAATCTGGTTCTAAATATGCTTGACAAGATATTTTGATATGCAAATGCTGTATTATGCATGCCAGGCCAGTAGATGCCTCTTTGTAAAGATACACTACGCACCTGCACATATACGCATTTCTATAGACTATGCATGTGCATGACGTCACTGTTTTCACAAATTTCACATTTTCACATTTTTGTAGTTTACATGCCGACTATAACGGAATTGTTTTCAAAAACTGCCACTTTGAAACTCGTTCTCAAAAGTTAGCATTTTCAGGCTCCCAAAACAATTTGATTTATAGTTAATTTATTTTCTTTTTTTCCTGATGCACGAGTGTCCTTCTCTGAAAACACTTGCATTGGATCTTACTGTTGATTTTGATCAACAAAATCCTTTCCTCTCAACCATCAAATTCCCAAAATATTAGAGTACATGCAAGTTAAAAGTGGCATGAGAAAAATATCATTAATTTAATGCAAAATCAATAATACGCTGTGTTCGTCTTTCATTTGCATTTCTGAAGTCTGTAGGGATGTTTGGCCCAGGGATTGTGCACATACTTAGAGGTCAAAGCCGTGGTTTTTGCTGGTACAAAATATTCCTCCAGACAACGCATGTAGAATTTGTTATCAGCTAACCCACGTTTACTGACCTTAAAAAAAGAACAGGGTTGACTAAAAACATTCCTGAGTGAAGATTATCCTACTTATAAAATACCTGATGGCCCCTCTTTTTTTTAAGGACATTACAACACGGATAGTACTGACTAGGCCCACAGAATTTGCAAACTTTTCTGGGAAAAATCAGTGAAATTCCATAGAACAGGTTTTAGACTTGGTTAAATATGTTTAACAGGCTGAAAGAACTATACTACCATTTGAAAGTTTGGGGTCAGTAAGATTTTATTTGATTTTATTTTTGGTGAAAAAAGTAATACTTTTATTTGGCACAAATCATCAAAAATGACAGTAAAGACATTTAACTGTTCCTTTTTTTTTATTATTTAAATTACATTTTTTTAAATCTGCAAATAAATGCAGATTGTGACAGATTGCATATTTATAGATTGCTACATCAGTGCAGTGTCAGGTCTGTTATGTTTAATTTTTAGACAATGGATGCTAAACTAACCCTAGCGATTATTATTATTTTACTGCATTTTTGTTCAAATAAATACAGCCTTGGTGAGCACAAGAGACTTCTTTCAAAAACATTAACTTCAGGGACATTATTATTGGTGGCAAAATGCATAAAATTGGATTTTGTTTTTTCATTTAATTAAT